ATACATTGAGAGATCTGTGACCTCATCTGATATAGAGTTGAAATATTTGTATTAAAGTTCTCTCCGTGAAACCCGAAGCAAGAGCGATTTTGTGTTCACTAATTTTAAGCAATATTAAATCCAATATTAAAGCAATTTTTAAAGTCTAATCGATAACCAGACAATCCGTGTGTTACCTGAAAAAAACTAAATCGCCCAAAATTAGAAGCAAAAGGGCGTGTCTACAATATTAGTTCTTTTCATATATTTTTTAATTATTATTATGATTGAATTAGAATAAATAGACTGCATGACATAAGTAAATTATCAAACTGTGTAACTAATTTGTGGCTTATTCTGATCACATTAGAAAAGCATTTATCAATTTCAGTCAAAACATTTAGGAGCACTCTCATCTCCGATTAACTAAACCTCTGCTCCTATGCTGTACAGTGAGAAGGAAATAAAAAACATACTGGATGAAACATACATGAATAATGAGGGCTTGGCAGAAACAAGTCCCTATCCTTAAAAGCAGGGTGAAAAATCTTTGTGAACATTCAACAAAGGCCGACCAACAACAAAGATCATTTTGAGTTGCATGCATAAAATTTTCGAGAGGAAATATCGACCGTAAACCGATGTTATTAAATACGGTTTTACCTATTGAATTTGACATTATTAGGTTTGTCTTAACGAGTGCTGTTCGTTGGATGGAAATGGCTTTTCTATTTATTATTACATCGGTAAAGGAGCTCACAGTTCAACTGCTTGTAAATGCTTTGCAAAGTCAAGCTCAACATGAATACTGCACCCTTCCTTGGGATGCGAGGCCTTCTTATTAGATGTTAGGAGATTCTTAATTCTATAGTAAAACTGCAGCCCGACCCCCCATAGACACAGACCACTGAGTTTCTCGCCGGATCTTCTCAGTGGGTCGCGTTTCCAATCCGGTGGTAGATTCTGCAAAGCAATATTCTTGCTAGAGCCAGTGTTAGCAACACTCCCGGTTTGAGCCCCGTGAACAGTGCTTCGCAGAATCTTTCACCGGATCGGAAACGCGACCCACTGATCATAGTACTGTTAATGCACGCTTGTATCGGAAGCTAACACCAATTTCGTAGTATAACTTACTTGTACACCCAGACATCTTTTTTTTTAAATGAAGGATTTCTGGTAGTCCGTAGGCCTTTCCAGTTTCATCAGGACAGGAGGTCGAGGATGGGCTCAACCGGGACTAGATTTGGGAACAGCTGTGCGAGCGCCTTCGAAGGATACCTAACAGCTCAAGCGCAGTTGCTTCGCGAATGTATCTACTACCGGATCGAAATCGCGAGCCGCTGAAAAGATTCGGCGAGAAACTCAGTGGGTTGATATATGGGCTAGTTTTCACGTCGAACTCTTTGACGAGTTCGACGAGTACGGTTACCAGGGTCCGTAAGCCTACTCCTAGGGCTGCAGGCACCACCTGATAAGGACGTCAATAGCAAATATCTCCATGATGCTACCGTCAATGCACTCCCCCAGGTAATCTAATAATAAATTATACTTTAATAACTGGATACTCATTACAGACGGCACACGTTTTGCTAATCACGTGTAATCTATACGCTTATGAAATATAATCGATGAATATTTTATTTCCCATCAAGATAAACGTACAAAAGATTTTCATCGGTTTCACAGCATCCGTTTCGATTAGCTATTGCTGAATAAATTCGTAATCGTATTCACTGTGACTGTGTGCTCGTAGCTTAAACGTCCTTAAAATAGTCTGATCGGTTTTTGATAAGAGGAGTAGGTGGAGTAGTATGTAGTGAGGGTAAGATATTTGAGAGTGGTCATTCAAATGGCAACACTAAACCTAATAAGAATATTAGGCTTCAAAAACACCGAAGGGAAAACTGCATACCAGAGCCATTTACCTACATACGTAAAAAAATGTATCTCTGAATGTACTGTAGTGAGAATCATCTCTGCTTCGGTAATGGGTTTTTTTTTGTTGCAAAGGAACATTATCGAATCGAGTCAAGAATATCTTGAAACGCTGTCCTCCAAAATTATATTCATTATAATTATCTTATTTAATGCCTGAAAAAAGTTTCCGCGTCTAATTATGTGTTTATGTCATGTGAATCTAACTAATTTAAAAGTATTAAATTTTTATCTATTTTTTTTTTTCATTAGATAGCGCCTACCTCTCCTCCTATTTTCAAAATCATTTTCATCCAAAAATTGACTGTAAATGATTGTTTTCAGCGATAAGTTAATTTATAAGTATATTTTTTCTCATTTGCTTTTTCCATACATTGTCTTTATTTTGGTGTACCTAAGTTTTTTTTTTTTTTTAAATGCTTATTTGGTCAGTGTGGTATTATGAGCTCACAGGCCACCTGGTGTTAAGTGGTTACTGGAGCCCATAGACATCTTTTATTCTTGTCCTTGTAGGTAGACGAGCATACGGCCCCCCTGATGGTGAGTGGCTACCGTCGCCCATGGACCTCTGCAATGCTAGGGGTAGAGCCAAGCCGCTGCCTACCGTTGAGTACTCTTCACAAACCTGGTTTGAAGAAGGAAACGTAAATGCGCCACCCACCTTGAGATATGAGTTCTAAGGTCTCAGTATAGTTACAACGGCTGCCCCACGCTTCAAACCGAAACATAGGCATTACTGCTTCACAGCAGAAATAGGCATGGTGATGGTACCTACCCGTGCGGACTCACAAGAGGCCCTACCACCGATAAGTGCAATACAGTGTTTTTATATTGGATCGTATTGTATTATCTTTCGGTATATTTTAGAATTAAACCGCCCCTAAGCTGTATTACCATTAAGGTGCTAATATTAATACGAGCACCATCTGATCAAAGCAATCCCGGGTTCCATTTTATAGGGAGGATAGCCGTTAAACAATTGAGGCTTTGGCCTAATAACTCAATGCTAGTTGCAGTATTTCTATTATTGTGATAAGCTCTGGTAGCCCGTATGATACTGAAGATCAAGTATGAAACTCTTGGCACATCTGATTTCTCCAAAACGTAAATATCATAGAAACATAAACATGACAACAACAAAAGGATTTTATTCATTTTGAGGGTATGACCTCTTGTGAGTCCGCACGGGCAGGTACCACCACCCTGCCTACTTCTGCCGTGAAGCAGCAATGCGTTTCCGCTTGAAGAGCGGGAACCTTGGAACTTATGTCTCGGGGTGGGTGGCGTATTTACGTTGTAGATGCTTATGGGCTCCAGTAACCACTTAACACCGGGTTGGCTGTGAGCTCGTCCACACATCTAAGCAATAAAAAAATATATATACATAAAATTAATTGAGAAATGAAATGAAAAGAAAAAAAATGATAGTTGAAATATTTTTATTTAACAGATTAAAATAATTTTCGTCACAGATTTTTTCAGTGGGCGCTCGCGGCTTGCGAATGCGCACCTCTCACGATGCCGAAATAATATCTGCTAACCCCATATTCACTACATTTCGATATTATTGCAGTAAATTTATTGTTTACATATCTATACAAAAAGGAACTAACTTTGTGCTTAACCGGAATAATTATAAACCCTTAAATTATATTATCTAGTCGTTGACCGCATAAAGCATGCATTTTGAATGTATTTAAACAAAAAGTAACCAAACTATTTTGACATAAACTTTTGCAATTCACAATTCAATATATGTTATATTCTATTGAACTCTGTGTTCCAAAAATATCGTGATTAGAATTGAACGTTCCATTTGTTATAAAAATAATAATGCTTGATCTTTGTTGAATAAATACATCCATAAACATAGAGTCGTGTAATTTTTCGTTGTTCATTTCCGTGTTATACGGACATTACAAAATACATTTAAAATCTAGTAACTAGCATTTCTTACTGTTTCTTTTTAATAACGGAGATGTTTAGATATATGTCGTTTGGCTTAAATAACCAAACCAAACTGAATTCCCATTAGTAACTCTCACTCAGCGATCAATCCCTATAAAATATGTTACATCTAATAGTTGATTAAACTATGGAAAAGTTTGAATTTAAACATCTACATCTTACAACTAACTTAACTATTTTCTTTAAATATGTAATAAATAAATAGTATATATTAATAAAAAAAAATTCTCAACCGTTTTGGTTCGATGAACCGAAATATACATAATTATTTAACGTTTATAAAATTGTGATCGTGGTTTGTGAATGTGGGAGTATGAATTTGCATTTAGCGGAGTTTTGACATTTTTCAAAATGTAAAGCTTAAAAACAAAAACGTATTAGTGATGTTGCTTTTTTTCATTTTCAATCATTTTGGAGGGTCATCTTCCCAGGCCTTAGTTAATTATTAGAATAAACACGAGATTACATACGCTGTACAGATTGATGTTTTAAACATGTCTTGCGAATATTACAACGGAAGGTGCCTTAAAATATCTTTCATCTAGCTGTAACTAATTTGTTATATGTACATAAACGTTTTTTTTTTCTTCTTTTTAAAAGCACCCAACATAGTTGAGATTCAAGGTTCGAGATTTTTACAGTTCAATTAAATTAATAATTATCGTCCGTGAAATTTCAAGTTTCAGTTTTTGTGAACAAGATAAACATAAAAAAACATAGTTAATTTTCAAATTTATCATATTATAATAATAAATAACTTCTAAGGTTTTTCTTCAAATCAGTAAAAAATGTTCAGAATTCCGACTCAGCCAATTAAATTGACAATGGGACGAGTAATTATTATTGTTATTACACGCTTACAATGTGCCACTAATTACAATGCAGGAACGAACAAAATTTGAGATTCAACTAAATAAAATACATTAAATATTAGACGTTCGTAATATTATACACATAGCCTAGTGTACCTAATCGTTAGGTAGCCGGCTTGTTGTTGATTGTTGCACAAGACGCCGCTGCAGCGTATTCATTATCTGTCACTTGCTTGGGCTAATATAAGGAACTCACTACATTTCATTTATATTTTGAATATTTTTAATATTTCACCACTAAAGAAAGATCGTATTAATTTTCTACAGGACACGGGAATATCTCGGAATGAATCGTCGGCACTGTTCTCATTGACGGATGCGCTCATAGGGCGCAGAACAGAGGCTATGGACACTCCATGGAGTTGGGACTGGGCGGGCCTCCCATCACACTGTACGGCGGGCTGTGCGGGGGCAACGACTGGATGGAGCCCATGGGCCCGTGGTACATGTCCATCTCGAGCGAGCCGTCCGGTGAGCACTTGTCCGACATCTTGTTCTCCTGTTTCGTGACCATGCGCCGCCATTTCGCCCGTGCGTTCTGGAACCATACCTGCGAACAAAAAATCATTATTGGTGTCGGCTCACGAAATAAAGTTCATCGAATTGTCGCCAGCCATACGAAAAAGTGGATTCGCCATAACGAGAAATACGAGTCGCATAGCGCGGCGGGACAAAAAAGAAACATTAAATTGTGCGGCGGTCGCCGGCTCGCGGCTCTGTGGTTTGGCCCCGCGGCGACATCGGGACGCGGAAGCTCCATCCTCCTTGAATACCTCCACGACGCGCTTCATTTGGCGAAGAGCGTGAAAGCGTTCCTCGTACGCCGATGTGGGTTGCGTTCCAGAATGCAGATTTAATCTGTAATTATCGAAATTATCCAGCTGAGCGCCGGCGGTCGAGCGTAAGGAGTCGCCGTGGGCTGCCCGTGCACTTACATTCCGTCTCCTCGCTCTCACAGCGGGTCGCCGTCCAAACAATTCTGGATATCTGCGGAATCGCAATTCAGTAACTTAACACATTGCCCGAGTTGTTTACGAAATAACGAGCACAATATTTAGGATCGCCCGAGACAACTATTATAGTCGAATCTGATATATGCGCGCGAGACGCGAACATGTTACGTGCAAAGTTCTCGAGAGCCAAGACGTGCGAATCGCGTCCAATCGCACGCGCTCGCAGTGTGGCCCCGCCCCCCGCGTCATGGCCGCTACCACTCTCCTACTCCAAATTTAGACGCCTGTTTTTCTGGCCAACATCTTGACGGTAGCACAAATAAACAAGGGCACAACTGCATCATTGGGCTCGGTTCGCATTTTAATGAGGCTATCAATATGAATTCAAGATGAACTTATATGGTGATCTAGTGAAGTATGTCCCTTTGAGATAAAGGGTGACGTTGACGCATTTATGTACTATTCAGTTCGGTTATGTTCGTGCGTCATTGCGCCAGCTGTTTTTGTCGCAAATTTTTGTGATTTTTTCCTAGAATTTTGTTTGAGAATATTTTTGAATGCCTCATCAATAAGCGGCACATTAAAAAAAACTACTCTTCAGTTTCTTTAAAACCGATCAAGTTAGTGTTTAAACTAATTTACTAAGAAACGCCTACGTTTTTTACAAGTTCATAAATTCATGGCACACACTGATGTTAAAGACAACGTCACCGAAATATTCTACCGCTACTATGAAATCACGATGAGTATTCTAGAATCGATTTTAATAAAGCTGCCACGAGTTCAATTCGATTGAGTTTGTATCGATAATGAATAACAAACAAAAAAATATTTCGCTTGATAGTGTACCTATATTTATTATGGAACACTTTGAACTACTTTAATTCAAATCGTTAAGGTTCGTTGCGTTCATTACGTAACCACTGGTAGCCTGACTGTTATTTTCATATTCTTCAAAAGGCATACTTCTTAATATACGTTAAAATTACAACAAATTAATTTTAAAAATGGAATCTACAAATGTAAGCCGATCCCTCTAATTAGAAATTACGTTGCAGTTGAATGATTAGAATAAAAAAATTAACAAAACCGAAACTCGAAGACGACTCGTTTCAAAAATTAAAAACAATGGTACCGTTCGTCTGAATGAAAAATGAACGTCGGACAGTCAACAGCACGATTGATGGTAGCACGTCCGCGACTGTCTCCTGCTGATAACAGCGTCGCGGTGGCCCGAATTTGGAACCAACGATCTCTATTTACAAATACTGATGTTGTTTTTCTACGCTTGTTCGTCACTCGTCTCGTCAACGTCTCGCCCGTTAGAGACATTTATGATGGGGTTCCTTACAATATTTTTACCTTCCTATACAGTTCGACAAGAAATGGATGACGAAGACAAAATGAGCGGACGCAGTAGCGCAAGTTGGAAGAAACCCATGTCCAGTGATGGGCCAACTGTGGGCCGATATTGATGGCAATCGGAATTTCGATTAAAGACAACCCTAATTTGTTTGTGAAAAAAAAGAAGATTATATTTAATGAAAATAACAATAATCTTCTATATCGTTCCCTCACTACTGAGGATCGCGACCACATGCGAAGTACTTCCAATGCGCCCGATCATGGGTGGCATGGACTGCATGGTACAGACTACCACCGAGTGCTTCTCTTGCCAGATCTGACCATCTGGCTGGTGTTCTGCCCACGGCGCGCTTGCCCTCTATTCGACCCGTAATTATGAGCTTCTCTAATTCATGTCTGGGAGACCGCATGATGTGTCCGAAGAAACTCATAACACGTTCCCGGCAGATGGAAGAGAGCCTTTTTCGGATGTCTAGCTGCCTTAGAATGGACTCGTTTGTTCGCATGGCAGTCCACGGTATTCGCAGCATCCTCCGCCACAATAATAACAATAATACCGGACCCAAAACAACAAAAAACGTTTACACAACGAGTTTTCATACAACAAGAGAGTTTTTATTGTAATGTAACACTACAAGAAGTACTGGAAAGGTAATAAAGATTGTTGTACCTCACGAAGGAATATACTAAAAGTGTTCTTACTAACCCATAACCGATCCTATTTACCCAACCCGACTAGTATGTCAACTGTTTAACCGCACCAAAAAAAAAAAAAACAGCGCATCACCTCAACCTCATTGGAAGCATTGTTTACTGGTGGTAGGACCTCTTGTGAGTCCGCACGGGTAGGTACCACCGCCCTGCCTAATTCTGCCGTAAAGCACTAATACGTTTCAGTTTGAAGAGTAGGGCAGCCGTTGTAACTATACTGAGATCTTAGAACTTATATCTCAAGGTGGGTGGCGCATTTATATTGTAAGTGTCTATGGGCTCCAGTAACCACTTAACATCAGGTGGGTTGTAAACTCGCCCACCCATCTAAGCAATAAAAAAAAAGCACAAAAAGGTATTCTCACAATCCACCATTTCTATAGAACGTTATTTTTTAATTATGTTGACGTTTCTTGAAGTAAATTGCCTACTTAAATTCATTGTTTATGTTCTAATGAAAATTATTCCATAATCAGCTGTTTCATTGTCATATCGTGAATAGTATTTTAAAAGATAACTTCTTACGTTGCTTCGTAATAAAAGTAAGTTATAATAAAAACACATCACGATAGATGGCTGTTTCAACTGATAAGGTAAGAAATTAAATATAGTATACGCATCTATTATGTAGTTCAAATAAGGAACCTAAGACACGTTTAAGGTGTGATTCCGAACTCGACAACAAGCAGTGTTGCCGCAGTGCTATCACTAAGGTGCTGCCTAGGAGTGACGCGTCTGCCGCCGCACCAAAAGTACCTACGTGAATGTGTTGGACTGTCGCGGCGGTAGGGCGACACTGATGCACCGCAGTGCTGCCGCTACATTGCTGCCGCAACATTGCTGCCTACCTCGGAATGTAATCTCATATAAACTTATAGAGATTGATGGGGACCAGCAGTGCCGCGACAACACTGCTGCGGTAGCATTGCTGCGTGCAGCGCAGTCCGGAATCATACCTTTAGGTGTGACTTCTTGCTATGCATCGCTAATCAAACAGGCGACTTACGAACGATTATAACTAATATATAATTTCATAAAAAGATTTCAAGGTCGAATATTGTCGAGATAATGAGATAATTCCGTTGTAGTTACATCTGAGGCCGTATTCGTTGTGCAATAATAGTATTTTGTTTAAATATAATCTGGCCCGAAGCAAAGCTCAACCACGCTTAACCCAAGACCGAACGCGATGACGAAACACTGTTGACCATCTCTGCCCCGCCTGGGTCATAGGAAACCCAAATAGGAAGGCCAAACAAACAAATACATGGATTGGGCTGTTAGATGCGTCATTTTATTCCCTACCTTTTCGCAGATAGCCTAAGGGGCTATTTCATTTAAGCTATGTCTGTTATGTGAGCTCACAGGACTCAACCTAAGAGAGTACGCAAACGCTAGCCCTAACAAGAACAGTACGTCTGCCACTGGATCGGAATCAGACGCGTCATTACCAGAAAGAAAAGTACCGAAAATTATACCAAACACACAATACTTCTGTCACTATCGCACGATACAAAGATCAAGAGAAACATACAATAATATTGCTTGTAGAACAGAATAGAGCGTGATCGAGAAATAACTCACGGGCTGACTTAAATAAAAAGCTTAATAATGCTCAAAGGAACATTTAGTAAATGAAAACTTTTAAATATTTTTATATGATAATTATATTAATCATACGAGACCGAGATAAATAATGTAAAACTAACATTTAAATCGTGTCTTCGAATTGTAACGTAACCAAATGATTGCTGTATGTTTTAATAACACAATCGTTCTACAATAAAATTGTACAATAAAAACTTTAATACATAATTTTCGTATTAAATAAAATTAATGTATGAATTTTGTTTGAACCTAACCCAGTTTGCGCACAGACTATAAACTAAGTTCGCAAGCGGCACCTCATTAAACAAGTCATTTATAACCGATTCATGTCAAACGTTACAAACGATAACACGCTCTCTTCTGTACGCGTTAAGTTTGAATTTGTTTCAGCAGACACCCTTGATGTAAACACGTTTTTCAGTAGCAGATGTACATGCCTTGACAAATTCACTTCTTTGATTTCTTTGTTTGAATTATTATTGAAACGCGAGCGTTCGTGTTCAGACTAAATTGTGTTGTGAGTGTACACATATGTATTTGACAATTCAATAAAACGAAATCTACAGCAATTCGTTAACGTCTTCAAATGAATCTACACGAAAAGGTATATTCGGAATATATATATTTTTTAATACTTAGTACTTTTAATTATATTACATTTATGAAGTATATAACATATGCCGCAGGACCCGGGAAAAGTCGAGGAGCTTAAGCAGGAAAGCGAACCTTGGGACTACACCGGAAAAAACATTACGAAGAATATATTATAAAGTATGTAATTATCTAGGTGGTGGTGGTGATAGGACCTCTTGTGAGTATATCTCAAGATGGGTGGCGCATTTACATCGTAGATGCCTATGCGCTCCAGTAACCACTTAACACCAGGCTCGTCCACCCACCTAAGCAATAAAAA